TGATAACGTATTTCTATTAAAACAATTTTTCAAGGTTTCTCAAGTCCAATAACTGTTATTGCTCTTTCCACTATTTTTGGAGGCCTCATTGCTAATCTTTTGTTTGAAGTAGTGTAGGACATTAACATCCTGATTATGTCATTATTTCCTCTTCGAGTTACATGGATTACCCATTTTTGCTGTTGCTGCTGTTCAAAATCACAAGTGATGTAGTTTTTGTTATTTGGTGCAATTATTTCTGTTGCACGAGTCCAGGAGTTTTGAATAGGGATGGTCCACTTTAAGATGTACAGGTTTTCATTCACACACACTCACAGACACAAACATACACATACACACACATGTATATATATAGCTTTGGATATAGATATAGATCGGGATATATACATAATATATATACTTATAAGAATATTATCTATTGAGCACAATTTAACATCTACGTTTATGAATTTAAGATCTTTCGCTTTTAAATAAAAGCGAAACGTTAACTCTAAACCTTTATTATTTGTTTCTTATTGCATAATTCTGTCAGATTTTAAGCCATATTTGATTATATATATATATATATATATATATATATATATATATATATATATATATATTATAAATGGACAAAGTCCGACAATTATTTAAGACATTTCTTTATATATATATATATAAGACATTTCTTTATGTTTATACGTTCTTTTTATAGATGCAAATATTTAAGTAAATGCTCTGTTTATAATAAACAGTATTTACCGGAGGACGCATATTTTCTATGAAAATTTCTCGGACATTCAGGCTGGTAAATGTTATTAATACTGTTTATTATAAACAGAGCATTACTTAAATATTTATATCTATAAAAAGAATATAAACTATATATATATATATATATATATATATATATATATATATAGCATTAAATACCAAATTGCTGGTTCCATTTCCGGGTGGAAAAGCGTTTTTGGGCAGGCAGGTTTTTTGCCATAAAGTGCTAGGGATATCAAAAGTTAGGATAGAGCGTTAATTGTTGAAGTTTATTACTTAGCTGCGTGGTGTTGGTTTAGTTATGCCCTACTACCTAGTTTCGTGAGCACAAAAAAAAATCATGTTGACTCTTCAGAGCCTGTTATCTTCTCTGCTTCAGGAGGAGTGAACTTGTCATGTTGATTTACTCACGAAACTGCGTAGTAAACATTACTCGCTCCAACACCACTCAATCAAGTGATATACTTCTCCAAATTAATTCTCTCTCTCTCTCTCTCTATATATATATCTCTATATATATATATATATATATATATATATATATGTCACCGAAGCTAAGTAGTATCGAACCCACTCAGAACTTAGATGAGGGAACACTGGTTACTGTAAGCAAAACTCGGTTACAAACCCGGTTGGACACGGTGTTAGCAATTTAATCTTAATTACTATTGAAGCCACAACAGCAACGCTTTTGTCCCATATTCTTAAGAGGTGTCCACATTTATTATAGGAGGACAGAGGATGATATATTTACACGCAAGAACCGAATATAGGTCTGCTGTTTGTGGGGCGTCCACGTTGTGTAATCATTGTATATATACCAAAGGAAACGATTTCGAAAGAAACGGCGGAAAGTATAAGTTAAGGTAAATATTTTCCACATGCTCAGATTCTCCCAACTTTTAGGTCGCACCTCGTACGGTATCTTCGACCGCCGATCACTATATACCGTGACTTTGAATGTTCTATCTTTGTAAAGGAAGGTGGCCAAGTTCTGAACAATGTCCACTCCTATCCTTTAACAACTTTGCACCATGCAACAAATTTCCGCTCAGCCAACTCGCTATTGATTCCCTGTAACTTGTTCACTTACTTATCGCCATCACATTAACAGGAAGCCAGAGCAGAAGTGTTGGCCGTCTGCATGTCGGTTGTTGGAGATAATTTACAATTATTTCAACGTCAACGTTTTTTCGGTTAATTAAACAGTTGGCAAAACGTACTGCTCAATTGGAATGCCATTAACTTAACGGTTGAACTACGACATTTAAAGTCTGAGGGCATCACGGCAGCCAGAGATCAGATTGACGTCCGATCTTCACACGGGAGTGGAATGCTAGGAAGCTATAAAGTTACTCTTGCTATTGCAATAGGCATTTATACCATTTTGACGTTGCATATTTTACAAGTATCCTATTATAATTGTTCTTGTCCTTCCCTTCGTTAGTTATCACGACCGTTACGTCCTGCATATACCTTATAAATTCCATTTTGATCACGTGGAAAGAAGAGGAAAAGACACTACTTTGTTTAAGTGAAAAATGAATGAATGAAAGAAAGAAAAAATAAAGAAAGAAAGAAAGAAAAAAGAAAGAAAGAAAAAAGAGAGGAATTGGAGAGAGAGAGAACCAGATTAAACTGATAAGAACACATAGTACGCTTTGATCTTAGCCAAAAGGCTGAGAAGCAATGACGAGCTTGATAAAAGCGTCATTTTTCAGACGCACAGTATCGAACGACGGAAACCGAATAGGGTAATCGCAAAAAATCCAGTTACCATAAATAAAATAACACCGTCTGCTGAATTATTTTAATTATTATTAAGAGGAATGTTCGTAAGACGGGGATTTGGCAATAAAGAAAGAAGTGTTTAATGGCTCTTTCAGTCAGATGGAAAAAGTTTTGAAATGGAAAAAGTTGTGAATTTCAAATATTTTCATTTGTACCCACTTCTTAAAATAACGACCAGCATTCATATTTATTATTGTTATTGCAATATTTTCTTAAAGCTGTCAATTTCAAATATTTAACGATGTGATAGAATTTCTACGGATATTTTATTGTCGTAAAACTAGCAACGAGTTCTCTCAATCATTTACTGAAAAATTAAGATTCATCAGAAAATTTAAATAGGAAAACCGTGAAATTTTCATAGGTCTTTCTAATATGAATAATTTTGATATGACATTTTTTGTCATATAACTCAGGTTGTTTAACATTCTACGACTATTAAATGAGCAACAACCATCAAAAAAAAAAAAAAAAAAATAGCCCCCAAGATAATTCGAATCGGTATCCCATATTTTTGGAAGTCCATCTTAACATTTTTAGAATATAAAACAGCTTGAGCATTTCGATAAAAAGCGAGATGAAATTTCATAAAACTAATAACGAAATGTTGCTTCTAAGAAATTGTAAAACAAACAATATCTTACGGTGATTTTCTAAGCGGGGCTTAGATGTGACACAAAAGTATAGGGCACACCGTGAAGATCGAACTCACTATTCAGTTGTAACTGATTTAGCGAGACAAGTTGGCCAAGCGTTACACTGCTAAGAGTAGCTTAGATGTGGAACAAGGCCGAAAGTGTGAGGATCGAACTCACTCGTAATAGAAAAATGTAACTCTATCACTAATTTCAAATGAGTTTCCATAGCCAAATTGATAAGTCAACATCCATATCAGACAAACACGAGTATACAGGATGCGATTCCAAGTAGGGGGTTACTACGTTTCGATCTATACTATGTACTTAATCGATAAAAATGATGTGTGTGTTGTGACGAAAGGCAACAATAACTTGACAGAAGATGTGTCAAAAAGTCATGTTTTATATAAAACATTTAGAGAACTTAGGACGATTTTATGGGTAGCCTCTCTAAATGGAGAGTAGAGAGCGAAAAAAATTGATCGTAACAAAGTGAGTTATTTAAAATCGAATATTTAACAACTGCACATAACTAGCACCAGCTCTAACCTTACATTATATTTTTTAATGTCTGTATTATTGGTGTTAGACAAATTTTGTATGATTCCCTACTATAATTCAGTGAATATTTTTTCACGTTTCTTTGCTATTCAATAAATATTTCCTTATTAATTATTTACTATTAATACATTTTTCATAATTCTTTGTTATTATTCGGTATCTTTCCTTTCTCTAATTTTGCAATGAATATTTGTTTTAAAATTCTTGGCTATTATTCAATAGTTGTTTCACTTATAATTCTTTTCTATCATTCAGCATTTGTCCATAATTATTTCTTATTATTCTATTAATAATTCGTTAATAATTGTTTCCCAAAATGAATATCTCTTTGCTCGTATTCAATGGATATTTCTTTCATGACTCGCTACTATAATTCAATATTTCTTTTATAATTCTTTGGTATAAATCATTGAAGATTTCTTTTATTCAAAATCCTACAATATTTTATTCTGGTTATGGCTGTTTATGAGGGCCGATGGATGATGATAGATAATGATGCAGTATTTTTGTGACATTACTCTTTTAGTTTGTGTGTGTGTGTGTGTGTGTTTAAAGGTGAATTTGAAGAAATAGCAAAAAAAAACAAAAAACAACAACAACAGTCTTTATCTGGTTTCTTTTTCAGAATCATCATGGTGCTCAATATTCTCTTACACATTATTACATCATAACGGATCAATATGTCTGCAGCCTGACACATAGTTATCAACTGAATTTAAGGTCAAATTTCTTTTGAATAATGTTAGATCTATGTAATTAATATTCACCAATGGATTAGGTGCATTGACAAGAAATGAGATTATGCTAAATATATATATATATTGGGTAAATTAAATACTTATTTCATCATTAAGCTACAGACTTATTGATTTACCTATATAAACAGTATTAACATCCAAATTCTCATTAACCTTATCCGCCTCGCTTGCCTTCTGTACTTTGTGTCATTGTGGGTTCTTGCGATATTTCTGACGATATTCTTCCTGTGACTAACCTTTTCAATCACTGTTGTTTCCACTTGAGTTATTCTTCTTTTTAATCTTCACCATTCATTGGCGTCTGCGCATGTCGCATAGAGACAAGAATTTCTGCACTCCATCCCCTTTACTACAGTGGCAACTTACCATAAAACATTACACATTGTAATCTTTATTTTATCAAGTATAAATACAAGTACACCGAGGTCTTTTTTTTCCCGAGTGTTTGTCATCACTCGGCTTATCTATCCCCAACTGTTGCCTTTTTGTTCAACGTGGGATGAGATTTTTATTGAAACGTGATGGAATGGGATATCCACCTTTATCTCCAAAGCAAATGACACTGCATGCACTAAGTAACCTTGGAGGCCACATTATATCTTACTAATGATATTCGTCTTTTTCAGAGCTATTCAAAATCAACTATTCTTTTTTTTTTACTTCTCATTGTTTTTATTTTTTTCAATCGAACTTCTTTTGCATGCCAAGTATTTTCAGGACGTAGACGATCATGGCGCTTCAAAACTTCCTGTTTTTTCTTGATATAAGTAACCTTTGAACCATTACCATCTTTCTCTGGCCCTGTTCTGCCATCAATTCATGCAAACTCGTTAAGTAGGTTACTCGCTGTCCTCCTCAGCTTCTCTTGCTTCTAATATATTCTATGAGTGCTAAATTAATTCGCCATTATGTGTCCGATAAATTTCATCTGTCTCGTTCTGATTGTAAGTATACATGTACTTGTTTTTCCTCTTTTATAACGTTACTAACATCATTTCACTTCGCTACTCATTGCCATAATTAGGAAAATAAATCTTATTCCTTCATTATCATTATATTCCTAATTAAAACCATCTTTCTTTTCTATCCTAACATCAATAAGTGCACATAATTCCATATTATTTACAATCGGGTTAATGTCTTCATCTTCGTTTTAAATATCACAACGTTTTGACCGTTGTACTTTCGGGCCTTTTTAAGGTATCTGACTATCCAACTAACCTTCAGGAATCCTTCAAGCTGAACCCTTTATTGTATCAATCAAAGATAGATGGTTCGCATCTCGTTGTTCATGTTTAGGCATATCTCGTCTTGATTAATTGTCTTTTTGTGTTGCTCACTCACTAATTGCTTGTTCTGGTTTCAGTGAGTGTGAGTATATCCATACTAGTCGACCTACAGATTGAACTCACAATTACTACTCCACCAATTTCACTACACCCCCGCCACCGACTGTAAAGTCCAACCCTTACCTCACAGTCGGTGGGTGGGTGTAAACAATAGTGTCAGAGCTATGCCGTCGGAACTTCGTTCCTGGTAGGGCCACCAAGGCGGACAGGTCTGACACACACGCCGGCTAACAAGGGCTCTAGTGAAAATCCATGGAGCGTCTGCATCGGCAACCGGCGGCTTCTGGTCGTTCTGTCTGTGGGAACCCCGCGGCAAGCAAGAACGTTATCCGAGAGGCCTGGGTACCTACTTCTGTAATTTATCCCAGAATCTTCTTCTCACAACAGGAAGAAGCCGGCTCAATCCGCCCAGGGTGAATGCCGCATCACACACTCACACACACACAATTTCACTAAGCAGCATTTCCATCCTCTAGGGAACAATTCCTAAGGTAGGAGCATAATGTTCTTCATAACATAAATAATAACTCACCATCTCCAAAATTCAGACAGTCATCTTAAATGTCACAAAAAATAATAGCGCTTCTCGCTATCATCATTAACCTCATTCTTTTCAGATATATATTTATGTGCAAAGCTATGAATCCACCTTCTCCTCCAGCTATGGGTTAAGTATTATTACTTGTACCAGTGAATCCTTATTATCTAAAAAAAAATAAAATCCAACAATCTTTTTCTAGCGTGAAATAACCTACAAAAGATTGATAAGTCGTAAAAAACAGATCAATAAATAAAAACCTAGATGATTCAGCTATGTACGAAGATATGTTAAAAATTATCCGCACCTTCTCCATAACATACCATTAGGTTTGTCACACAGCCTTTTGTTCATGCATGCTTATAGTTGGTACTATTGTGCTCATGTGATCGCGTCAGTTTTCTTGGTGTTTATTTCAGTGTAAACATGGCCGCTTCGCTAGCAGTGTACACCAAGGAGGAACAAAAAGCAGTGATCCGAATCTGCAGAGAACATACTCACCAGTTCGCCATTACCATCTGCGGAGCTTGCTGAATCTTATCAGTGGTTGAGCTTGACGAGCGTCCTGCTTCTTCTTCGTACGTCAAGATTGTCCGGCTACATTTAAACTTCTCGATCCACTCATACACATTTCTACGCGGTAATGCACTGTCATCGTATTGTTTTAAAAGCCTCCGATTAATTTCTGTCCCTGAGGTATTTTCGTACCAGAGAAATCGGATCGGCAGTGTGATACACCTAATGATATTTTATGGCGGAGGTGCGGATAATGTTTTACTTATCCTCGTAGTTATGCTCTCTATCAACCTTATAATTGCTGAAAGAACACAGAAAATTCATGCTGAAGGGAGACGACAAAAGGAGAAGAACTTGAAAGTAGAATAAGGCTGCCCAGAAGATCAACTTTGTGTCCATCATTTGCTTCTCATCACTATTGATTTGTTCTGTGTTACAGTCAATTCTGAAATAATGAAATGTGCACCAAAATGTCCAGCGATAGGGTATCGGCAAGCGGTCAGCTTTTAGGGTTTCATTTTAAAGAATTTTAAATATAGTACTCAATGTATAAAATAAGACTTTACTTCATTATTCACTACGAGGTCCTAATTCACCAACTGAGGAAAAATCATAAACTTGCTATATCACGTTTAAACAACGATTCTCGTACGATCACCGAAGTTAAGCAACGTCAAGTCTGGTCAGTACCTAGATGGCTGACCGCTTGGGAATACCACATGCTGTAAGCTTGGGTGTACGGGTGATATAATGGATAATGGCTCGGAATTGTTAATCGGGATATCAAGTTCCAATTCCCGCTAGGTTCGTTATATTCACTTACGCGCAAAAGTCCATGAGAAAGGTATGAAGCCACCTCTCCCCCAGCTATGGATTAATCAGTAGGATATGAATCATTATCTCCAAAAAACATTCTTACAATCTAAAAATATTTTCTTGCTTTAAATAACCTTCAAAAAGTTAATAAAGCCATAAAAACAAATCAGTTGTTTAATCATAATAAACATGTCAGTATCTAAGTAATAAGTGAGGCAAGTGTACGGAAAACTTAGTGTGAGATCATATTTATTAAGACTGGTTAACACAGTTCTCTTTGTCGGTAGAATTATACGAAGGAGCAAAAAAATTCGTCTAAAAGCCTTTCCTAAAGTAAAAAAAAGAAGTATTATGCTTGAGCATTTTGTTAGATTTGGAGTAAGTGTGTATCCCAGAAACTAATGAGCACCGTTTCGTATATATTATAGGTATGACCAAGACTTCATACTACCGTAATAAATGTTGCGTAGCAAATAATGATAATGTATGGTCCATAAGTTGCCCAGAATCGCAGTCCTATTTGCCCTAATATTTAAGAACAAGGCGAGAAATATGGCTTTTCCATTAAAATCTTTATTCATAACTGCATTAATCTTTTTTTGGTTCTCTTAACTATTGGCTTGATTATTACTCCAGGCTTTAGTCTTTCTCCTTTCTCTTCTTTCTCTACAACACGTTCCTTCTTTGGCTCTCGGTTCTTTTTCCTTATTGCTGTCTCTCTCTATTCTTTTTCTCCTAACAATTTTCATCGTTCCTCTTCTGTATCTGCTTTGTATTCATTTTCCCTCCTCGCTTTCATTCCAGTTGTTGTCGCCTTCCTTTTCGTCTACTACACCTTAATTCCTTCTACGTCACTCTGCCCTTTTCCTTGTTACTCTCTCTCTCTTTTTCCTATCAATTTTCTTCTATATCTCTGTTGTCTTCATTTTCCTCTACGCTTGCTCTTTGCCTTGTTTTTTATTTATTGTTTTCGTTGTTGCCTTATTTATTTACTTCCGCTACACCCACTTTTCCTTCTTTGTTTCTCTCTACTTTTTCCTTATTGTTATCACCCCTTTCTCCCTTTTTTTCTACGAATTTTCTTCTTCTTTCTCCTCATTTTTCCTCCTCGTTTTCTTTTCTCTTTCTTTTACCTTTTTCGTTGTTGCATTCTTCCTTTTCTTCCGGTACATCTTAAATTATTCTACTCTTCCTTCTACATCTGTCTGTTATTTTTCTTTATTGCTATCTCTCCCCGCCCCTGTCAATTTTCCTTTATCCTCTTTTATATCTCTTTTCGTTTCCATTTTTCTTTCCCGCTTTCTTTTCTCAGTGTTTGTTGTCGTCTTCCTTTTCTTCAGCAACACTAATCCCTTCTATTCCTTCTACTCTCGCCTTCTACTTTTTATCAGTTTAATGTCTTTTTCTTTGCACCTCATTTTTATGATTATCCTCACCTATACTGTTTTCTCACTTTTATTTCTCTCACTTTCATTGCCACCGACATTATCCTTTCTTTTACGCATTCCTCTTCCCCATTCTCACTTCCTATTCTCATCACAGAGTTCATTTTGACTGCCATTTGAGCCGAAGTAAATTTGTATAATTTGTTTGCATAAGCGACGAGACAATTGTGTCGGCTGTTTTATGATAACCCCCAGACGACACTCGTTTTTGTTCAGAGAATCTAGAGAAACAAGATTTTTTCTTTCGCATTTGTGTAAATGAGACGGGCATGAGTTGCTGCGAGAAAACATAACGAAAAAAAGGCCTTCCATTCTAAAAGAAGAGTGCGGAAAAAATGCCTGCTAATTCTTTTAAAAATCGGGCAAAGATAGGATTTCCAGATACCTTATTGTTGGCGCCAAATCTGTGTAACAGACTTTAGGTCAGAATGCTTCTTCGTTATTTCAATCTTTTTCATATTCTTTGTCAGTTTACTGAATCATTTTCTTTATCATCTGTTTTTAGACCTGCATAACGGTTGCAGAATTTGCTATACACGAAGCATACCTGTCTGTTGATCTTCATCTCATTTAAACTCGTACTGTAGCGTTGAAGCTCAGGCCAGACACTAGATTCGTTCTCAGGGTGAAGCTTCTTCCAGTCAAACGCGTTTGGCTTAAAATGAACTTTTTGACTAGATCGAAATAAAATCCTTCAGTTTCCTTTCTGTGTCTGCTATCAAGATGATGTCGCCTGAATATGTTATATTGCAAAGGGAGGGAAAAGGAGAAAAACTTCAAATAATACGAGTTAATTTTTGCAATGGCTAGTTTGTCGACCGGATAACCCTGGTTTCGTAAAAATGTGTCAATGTAAATGGGGGAATGGATAAATATATGCATATGTGTCCGAGCATGTACGTGTATGAATATATATGTATATGTATGAGTGTACATACATGTTTAGACTAAATAAATTTTTTATTAAATTTTGTTTGGTTAAGTGCATAAGGTAAATGTAAACTGTAAGATTTATCTGATAGTACAAATAGCGAAATTTTTTTAGAAACGATTTCCCGCTTTTAAAAGTCGTAAGTCAGACTAATCTTGGTGAAGTATAGGTGTTAGTTTAGGTATATGATAGATTTGGGTTGGGTTGGGTACGCGTGTAGGTTTAGTTAATGGGTTAGTAATGTTATGGAATTAGAAATCTAAAATGAATGAAACATTTGGATTAAACTATAAAAGAAAGAAACCAGCTTGCTAGTATATAGGGGGGCAGAAAAGCCTTTTTTTTTTCATTGGTTTACACCGACTGACAGATTTCAATAAGAATGGACGAACTCTTGGTTATGTCGATTTTGCAATGTCTAAGTGCAAAGCACGACGCTTTCAAGGAGGCGGCCTAACACGTCCGGTGTCAGGTCGGGGTTGATGTTTGAGCGGTTATGATGCAAAATCCGAAATCGGCGATGGGGACTGTACATCACTTAAGACTATTCTTGATGCATCAAAAATATATTATACAACTGCCAACCAATAACAAAATTGAAAATAATATGCATAAACAACCGAAAAATATCACAAATATTTTTTAAAATTCATTAAAATTCTCTCGTTAGCCTTGAGTATTTTTATTTAAAAAAAATAATTCTTTATTCTTTTTGTTTTGTTACTGAAGATAAGGAGAGTGTGGGTGTGGCGCAACGGTTCACGTTGCAGCCTCGTCTTTTTGCCTTTTTAATTCGCACTAATGTGACATGATGCAATGTTCTCTTTCGTTAGGTTGTTACCATCCTGGTCTGTTGCCAGTGGTTCAATTCATGCATAACTTGTGGTTGTCCACAGGCTTCACGTGCCGCTGGTGTCAGTCCGGAATTCACATATTACTGGTATACCCCTGCTTTATTCGCCCCATAAGGCTAGAGTAGATGCGAACTCGGAGAAATCTTTCTGATTCCAACAAACATTGTGCATTCAGTGTTAAATCCTGTTCACGTCCCATGTCAATCAACGTCATGGCTACACTAAATACTTATATATTGCGTCAGAGATACATCATTTAGTCGAATCTATTTGTACAAGTTGGGGAAGAGAAAGCCATCAATTATACTGGTATATCTAATTATAGGTCACTTCAGTTTTTTCGCTCTTTAACATCAATGGCAGATGTCAGAAAATAAATAAATATACTGTTTAATAAATAAACTGAGTGTCTACTCAAATATGAGTATCAACTAAAAATAACGTTAAAGCGATATATATATATATATATATATATATATATATATATATATATATATATATATATATATCTGTGTGTGTGCAATTGTGTATATGTATATAATAAATGCAAATCTCAGTGTATCACGCTTTTTATATTAAAGGGACACAACTCTCTAACTTTAAATAGCTCAAGTTACAAAATTTTGGATTACTAAATTTTCATTACTGCAATTGTTTTCGGCTTATTTTTTAGGTGATTTTTTGCGACGAATTTTTTGTACGATAACAATTTTTATAACTTGGAAATAAACTTGAGAACAATTTAAATTAATTGCGAAATTAATTAAATTGAAATTTCCAACGAAAATCACCCATAAAATAAAAGTAATTGTATGTAGGGAAAGTAAGGACCTACGTACATAAAATTGTCTTTAAATTAGAATAGCGGCAGACGAATTATCATTCAATTTTTAAAAGGTAAGCTTAAATATTAATGCAATACTTAAATGCAGCGATTAGTTTTGAGTTCTTCTGTAGTTTATTGTTGCCTATCGCGTACAGCAGCAGTATGCCTTGCAAAAAGAAATCTCTGCCAACAGAGGACCAGATTGCAATCAAAAGAGCCAAGGCAGCAGCGAGGTAAAGAAAGTCCCGTGCAAATGAAAACCAAAATCAAACGGCAACCATGAGAGCTTTTAATGCTGAGAATATGCAAAGACTTAGGGACTCTTAAACTGCTGAACAAGCCGAAAGCCCAATCAAAAGCCCTCCACAAGAACTGGCTTAAATGTCGCCCGATAGTAGCTAGTATATATGATAAAAATATAGATATGGTATATTTATGAGTAAAAATGCTCAATATCAACGATAGAGTGTGTATAAATATAAGTGTAGACACTGAGATCAACACCAAGTGGCGACAGTGTTTCATGCTTGAACGTAAACTTCAAGTTATGTGTGACGCGCGTTGGCTCGACTATTTATATATTCTGGTTAATGTTGCATTATGGGTAACGAGGTTATTTATTTTGTATCATTCTAACGGTTATTAGGCTAGCGACAACGGTTATACTTCAAATTATTTTAAAGGCTATTGAATAGAAATAATTGTGGGTTAGAATACGGTTATTTGTAAACTATTGTATAGTATTATTTAACTTTTAACTCATTATTTAAAATTGATTACGTTGGGTATTTTGTATTTAGCCATTAATTATTTGTTGTTAATTATCATTATTAATTTTATTAAATAAAATTGTGTTCAATTGTTATATCACTACTCTGAGTTTTGCGGGTACTAAATCCATTTGGAGGTGACTTGATAGTAAAAATCTTTCATTTAAGTCTACTTATGAGTGCATGTAACAGTAGGGGTAAGATAAATGAACATTTAATTTTACTTATCACTATTAATGATCTTTTTCTTGATATTGAGCATTCTAATTACAAATACTGCTTGTGTTAAAGCGCTATCTTCTAGAAATAACTTGGTCGACATTTTATTTTTATTTTCGACAAAAAATAATTTTTATTTTAAATTGCCTTTTGTGAAAAATAAAAATAAATAAGATATATATATATATATATATATATATATATATATATATATATATATATATATATATATAAAGGTAACAATGATAAGGCAGGAAGAAAATATCTTCGTCTGTCAAAATAGGTTACTCCCCATATGAGGTGTTTTTTGGATTTTATTGTTTTATGGTATATATATATATATATATATATATATATATATTCATATTCAAACACACACACACATATATATATATATATATATATATATATATATATATATATATATATATATATATACATCTATATATATACACACACATATATGCATATATATAGATATATATAGATATATATTTACACACATATATATAGATATATATCTATATATACATATATATATATAGACATATATATACACATATATACACACACATATATGAACACACATATACACACATATATATATATACATATATATATATACACATATATACGCATATGTATATGCACACACATATATATACACGCAAACATATATACACGCACACACACACACACATATATATATATATATATATATATATATATATATATATATATATATATATATATATCTATTTCTTTTTTTCTTGGCAGTCATTATGCAGTAGCTTTTGAATGCAAACACCAATAATCATCCATGCTTGATGTCTGAGGTAGGGTAATGAAAATACTTATATATTTATATGCATTTCTGTCTGCCTATCCCAAATTCTCAATCTTCTGTTCACTGTTGTAGAAAGTAACAACCGGGGATATTATCTTACTTTCATATTGGAAATGTTGGGTACCCCAAGTTGAAAAAGGAAATTTCTACGTTCTTGCTCACCAGGTAAAAAAATAAAGAAAAAGAAAAGACGGACATTCTGACTTAGTAAAATAAAAGAGAACATCTGCTCATATTTGCGTTTAGTGGCTTCAGTACGTTGTATGTTCTATAATTTGGTAAACGGTCTGTTAGCAAGTAGGTGGGCCGGCTAGCCTTTGATTGACAACGTCATGTCTGACCGTACGCTATGATGAATACAGATTTGCTCATAGACTCTGTGTTAGATATGCTCCTGTTCAAACGCATTGGCCTGTCTGATTTTACACTTGTTCGGTCCTGAGCAGACGACATTACT